AAGAACATTTGGTTTTGTATGACTTTTCTCTTTTCCTTTCGCTCTCACACATCCACACAGTCTCAAGGGGGAACAAAACATTTTGTTGGTGCACAGAGAAATGGCTGTGTACTTTGTATTACATTTTGCATTAAACATCAGAATCAGTTTAAAACTCAAAAGGCAGAGGATTTTGGCAGAGTTTCAGGATTACTTCATATCCCCGCATCTGAAATAGTGCTGTGGTCCCTTTCATAGTGTCGGGGGACTCAGCAGTGGGAATGGATGTTCAAATGGCAAGCAAGGTGTGACGTGTCAAACAAAGAGGAAAATACCAGGATTTTGTACGCTCTATGAAAGAGCATTATATGATGGATTTGGAGTTCTGGATGGCTGTCATAAAACTGACTCTAAATTTATAATGTAAAACTTGTTAAGACCAAATATTTCTTTCACATACACTCTGTCAATGATGTCTAAATGCCACAAACTGGAAAGGTTAGAAATGTGAATATAATAATAATTTCCTGTAATAAGCAGGGTAAATCTGGGGGAGAAAATGTACATTAATTCTCATTTAAAAAAATGAAACAGAAAGTATGAATAGAACTGAACTTAAACTGACTCCTGACACAAAATGATTTTTTTTCCACTCACCTTATCTAGTATGAAGCTATATGACCTGTGAATTACTTAGCCTCTCTACGTCTCAGCTTCATCACTTTCTCAACCTGGAAAGTTATAATGATGCAGTGCCAAATCAGTAAGATTGTTGGCCTACAGTAAATGCTCAGTACACCTTAGCCAGAATTACCATTATTATAATATTATCATTAGAGAATTGGCATTAAGAATATAGCTTGACCACTGAAAATAGGAAAATTGCTATTTCTTGTAATGTTTATTATTGTCCGACTATGAGGTTTGACTGGCTGAGTGTATGTGAAAACAATATTTGCTAAAAACAAGGCCACCGTCACATAATCTACTTTATGAGGAGCTGTCCAAAGAAGGAAGATTCTACTGAATTGAAATGAGATTAAATCAACAGACTAAAGCTGTTGTTAGTGCTTTCCAGGGAAGTAGGAAGAGAGTAAGAGAAGTATATGAAGTCTTTTGTGAAAATAGGATTACCACGCTAGTGACCATGAGCATCTGGTTTTCTTCTCTGTGGAGCAAAAGTAAAACTAGAGGGTATGAATCTAGGCGGCAGGGCAAACTTGGACTCGCTAGTCTTGATAATATATTGCAGAATAAAGAGGACTTAATCTCAGAAAAAGAATGAAATTAGTGGGACAAGAGCAAAGAAAAGTCAACCTTTGATTTTCATTCATTCATTCACTCACTGATTCATTATGTAATGAGTGTTGTCTCAGGTGCTGTGCACACAAAGAATAAGACGTGGTCCCACTCTAAAGCAGCTTGTAGGAGGCAGTCAGACAAGCAGTAGGACAGGCTCAGACTCTCTAAGAGAGTAGCAGACTCATGTGCAAGGAGCAGTAGGACCTGGAGAAGGGCGACCCACCCAGCCAGGAGAAGGGAAGGGCTTCCAGTGCACCAGACTTTGTGACCTTACCTCTCCAAAAGGCCACACATCATAGACTTTTAAGAATTACTTTCAACATAACAATTATACCTCAACAAAGATATTTAAAAAGAATTATTTTCATCTTGTAACTTTCTGCCATGTTGTCTTTTTTTTCTACTTGCAATTTCCTAAAAAATAATAACAGTAAAAGTCCTTAGAACACTTCAAAGATATATTTTCCCCCCTGCTCAGATATGGACAAGAGGTGAGAGGAAGAGTTGCTGCCAATTTGTAGTGGATTCTGAAGGAGAGAGCCTCAGGTGGAAGGCGGCAGGCCAGTTCCTGGGATGCACAGAAGGAAAGAGACAAGAGGAAGAGATGGGCTCAAGACTCTGGCTGTTTCCTAATACTCTTCTTCCCCGTCAGCCCCTGCTTCTTCTGACATCTCCTTGCCCATCCTTCTCTGGTACACCCATCCATTTCCCTAGAGACCCTAGAGAAGGTCACTTCTGGGTATGGAAAGGGTCTGCTTATAAGTTGGTTGGTAATGGCTCACTGGGTCACCCCGCCCAGGGATATAGCCATTTTTAGAAGGAAAGTCATGAAGAACAAAAATCTAGACTCAAGGGAATGCCTATCCAGGGACAGAACAAGCCTGGGCATAGGCCACTGGGGGCAAATGCTAGCTGCTAACATCTACAAATCATGCTACGTATGTACCTATGTATTGCATCTTCTAAGAGGCTGACTTGGCCAAAGAACAGAGAAACCTTGAAACCAGCAGTTTATGGTCTGCAGTAAGCATGCCTTTATGAGAACCGAGATCCAGGTGGTCTGGGGGAGGGGAGGAACAGGAGAGCGCTATTCTTGGGGAACTATGGTTGTGGGAAGGTGAGTCTGGCTCCTGGGGGCACGTCCATGTGAAGTGGGCCTTGATCCTCATTTCAGGTTACTATTTTCTTGGCAGAGTCCAACTGGCTGGGTCTGGTGAATTTTAAGGCACCACCAAAATAATGACCACATTTCTTTAAACACAAGTTCTTATTCTTCATGAGTTTAAATTGCTATACTGTCTTTCCTTCTTTTCTGCATTACCTCTTTAGAGTCCAGGTTCTGAAGGCATCTCTAACTTTTATTTTGGATATTTTCTTTTCTTTTTTTTTTTAAATATGTCCATTTAAAATACAGAATGTGGAAAAATCTCCTAAATGTTTTAGTGATTCTATAATAGCAACAACACATCTTGATCTATTAGTATCAGGCTCATTCATGTCTAACAAGATACAGAAGGCTCCCTTGAAAACACACAGGATAGGTGATAAGAAGTGACATCAGATTTCCATACTGGATCTCATCTGAATAAACAGGAGTTTACTATTATTAGACATAGAATTGAACATTCATTTTATTCTTAGTTCTCTTTTTATATTCACTTCTAAGTTATATTTCCAGGTAGTGGTACTTCCTGATGGCTTACATCTGACATTGTCTAAAATTTCCAAACTCATCAGTTGGACATTTGAGCATCAGTACAACTGCCGATCCTCACTTTCCGTGACAAAGGAGAGAAGGCAGAAGTGCCTGCAGACTGGGATCTCTATGGAGATCTATGAATCTCTACAATGAAGTTTCTCTACGTGGATGTGTTTATAAATCACTATGAGATTACTGAAAGTATGCATCAGGGGCCTTCCTCTCTGTAAGAAGAGTACTAACCAAACACTTCTGAACATCGGTGTGAACTTCTCTTTACCTTGGGGTAGTCCTTAAGCTCACCATTCATCAGTCTTGAAATGATTCAGCTACACTATCATAGCTATTTAGAGAACATTTACAGCTCTATTTTTTGAAATGATCTTCCCAATATTTCTAAACAAAAGTGAAAAATCTAACTCTATCAGTTTAAGTCCCATATATTTACTCCCCCCCCACTTCCTTATCATTAATCTGGCCCTGTTTCTGTCTAGAGTGGGTCCAAATTATGTTTTAGCTTTGCTTCCTTATGAATCCTCTAGCAACACTCCAAGATTTAGCAGGAAATTATATTTCTCTTTTTACATTTTCCACTGTTACATTTATAACAAATAAGTTCCCTGAAGATTTTAGTAGCAAGTCTGAAAGATGTCATGTTCTTGTTAAGGGAAAAGGATGGAAATTCTGTTATGGAAATTCTACAGCCTGGTTCCATTCTGCCACCTGTCATGTGGAACCACAGCCTTCTCTACCTGCCTGCCACTCAGTTACCATAGTGATTACTCCAAAACAGTACATCAGTTCTGAAGTCTGTACAGACTAAGCAGGCTCTATCACTCTGGACTTCTTGTTTTAAAATTGTTTATTTCTGCTTGAGAATTTCTCAGTATATAAGCATCATGGAGACAATAATGTACACTGGTCAAACTGAGCATGACCAATTCTGTTACCACTCTAGGTTGCAAAGTGACAGCTGGTGACTTTTGTAAGTGAGTGGCATAATAACATCCACCTGGCTGGAACATCTCCAGTGTCAGGTTGAGCCACTCCCAAGCATTGGCAGACAAAGAGACTAAGCAAAATCTTCTGAGAGTCTTAAAATGTGATTGCTGAAAGGTCAAGTTAGCAATTTTCCCTTTTAATATTCAATACCAGTAGTGAAAGTGGAGGTGTTGATACTATATCTAGACTAAGAGCTATCAGCAAAAGCCATTTTGAAATTTAGGCTGATAATGTAATTCAGGGAGCTTTTACATTTCGCAGGGCTGCCACATATGCCTTGGGAAAGAAATCTAAGCTGAATACCTAAGTCACCATTCTGCCACTAACACACTGAGAGACACTGGACAGTGACAATCTCTTTGTGCGTCAGATCCTTCATCTGTAAAATGAGAGATTTAGAAGAACAGTCTTTAAGATCTCAGCCGGCTCTGAAACTCTCTGATTCTACAAGGGAAAATTCTAAGATAGTGAGGCTGATTTTCGATTTCGGTGTGTGGACAGCATCACATTGTTTGACATAGTACGTTACTGACCAGCCCATTCAACGCAAGTCATGGCTACTTTCACTAGGCTGGTCAAGAAACTCCTTTCAGTTTCTTCCTGTTTGCTCTAGGGTCTTGTTATGACACCTCAGAAACACTGTCTTAGACAATTTGCAAAGAAGAGAGCTAAAAACATCCTTCCACTTCATGCTTCATTAAATTGCTCCAAAGGCATGCCATCACGTAACAGTTTCAAGTGTCCTTCACTTCTAGGAAGCGTGGGATGAGTTAAATAAAGGTCAGCACATAAAATACAGTTGTCCTCAATTTCCTATGGTGTTATTTTACTCTCTAGTCTTCTGTATAGCATTTAAAATTTATGTTAAACACATAGAGACATTGTTGAATAAGTATCTGATCAAGGAAAAAAAGGTAGTTGGTTCCCCTAGAAAATTATTTGGAATAAAGACTAAAAAGGACAAGAGGAAGGGGAGACTGAACATACAGAGAGTAACAGACATTCAGGGGAAGCTTACGGATCAAAGGCTGCCAGCAGGAAGTTAAGCAGGAGGCTGATGGACTGCTCCACCTGGATTTGGTGAGTGGTTGGCATCCGTTTGTTGAGCTGGTAAAATATGGTGGAGAGCACAGCCTCCAAGCGGGCCACATTGAGTTCTATGTTTGGGTCCAGGTTGTTCAGAGCATTTTCCCGCAATGCTTCTATGACGTTCCAAATGTCCACCAGGTGCACTACATACAATTAAAGCAGAGTGAACACATCAGCCTAAAGTGCATGGAGAGGTGAATTCATTATTTTCATGTACCATCTGTCCTGTTTTGTCCAGGTGCCTCGCAGGCTTGGGTATGTGACTGTTGTAGAGATTGACATAAGTAAACGTATATAGAGCATGATCTCAAAGACTTGATGTACGATGTATAATGGCAAGCAAATGATTTACTGAACACCACAGTAGACCGTTATTTCTAATCTTCATAATGCCCTTGAAATATAGCTATTATTCCCATATTACATGTGAGGAAACTGACAAATGCAAAGGTCCAAGGTCAGTCAATGGCAAAATCAGCATTCAAATTCAAGTCTATCTGTTTTTATTTTCATATTGAGATATAATTGACATATAACATTGCATAAGGTTACGGTGAACAACGTGTTGATTTGATACATTTCTATATTGCAGTATGATTACCGCCATAATATTAGCTAACACACCATGTCCCATAATTATCATTTCTTTTTTGAGATGAGAACATTTAAGATCTAGTTTCTTAGCAACGTCGAAGTATATAGTACTTGTGATTGAGATTAACAAGTCTATCTGGCTTTAAAGCACTATCCCATTGCACACACTGACCCTTCAAAAAAAACGTAGAGAAAAACAACACTTAAATTCTACTGTTTGAAAGGATATCAAAAGTGCATTTGATATTTAAAATATTTGCATTTATTTACATATTTTTAGTAGTAGAAGGTTTGAAATAAGAAAAAAGGGAACATTAAATAGGCAGGAAGACAGGCAGGGGAAAAAGGAAAAGTTATCTACGCAATGAGCAGTAGGACTAAGTCACAGATCACTTAACTAACCTAGTCAAGAACAAACAGTTTCCTGGATACACTGTTTACTAGCTCATGTAACTTAAGGCATGGTTATTTTCACTAGGATAGTCAAGAAATCCATTTCTATTTCTTTTCTGTTCACCCTGAGGTCTTGTTTTGACATCCCAGAAACCACCACCACCATAATCAAGACAACGAACACGTCCATCACCCGGAAAAGTCTCCTCATGCTCCTTTTAATCCATCCCACTCCCCATCCCAGGCAACCACAGATCTGCCTCCCATCATGATTTTCTAGAATTCTATACAGCTGGAATCATACATAGGTGCTCTTTCTTTGGTCTGGATTCTTTTACTTAGTGTAACTATTTTGAGAATCGTCCATGTTGTTGCATGTGTAATAGCTTTTCCTTTTCATTGCTGAATAGTATTCTATGATATGGATATACCACAATTTGGTCATCAACTTACCTCTGGTAGACATTTGGATTGTTTCACTTTTTGGTTATCCTGAATAAAGTTGCTATGAACAATCACGTACAAATCTTTGTATAGACATACGCTTCCATTTCTCTGGGTAAATACTTAGAAACAAAGTAGCTAGGTTGCTTGTTTATTTGGTAGGTGTATGGTATGGGTGTTTAATTATGAAACTTCCAAAACGTTTTTCAAAGTAGTTGTACTATTTTACATTCCCATCAGTGGTGTATGAGAGTTCTAATTTTTTTATATCTTCACGAAGTTTACGGTTCACTTTTCATTACCTTTTTGTTTAAAAATAAACGTTGTCTTTCTCAATGAAATATACACTTACATTTTAGTTCCTATGAAATCTGCACTCCACATATGTTTTTCAATCAACAACTCCCAAGTTTTAGTCTCCTGCCTCTTTGCTCACTTCTAACACTATATTTAAAGAACAAAACCAACACAATTGAGCTCCTGGCCTTGGAGTCCAGAGACCTGGGTCCAAATCTGGCTCTTCTTCTTCTACAAGTGCAGCTCCTCTTAGCCTTGAAGATTCGAGCCTCACTTTCCTCAACTAGAAAGCGGGATGGTGTTCCTTAAATGGGACAATGTATGAAGTCAAAAGTGGTAATGCCTGGTACCCAGAGACAACACTTTATACTTGAACAAACGAATACTAGGAGTCATGTCAAAAGGACAACTTTTCAGCATATCTCTGGTTGCGGGCAGAGGAATACAAATCACTTTCCAACTGAAATAAATATTTATTAGATTTGGATAAACTCAGATTTATGTGATTTCAAGTTTGCAACCTTCTTGGTATATCACACAACAAGAAAATTATTCGTATTTCTTAATGTTATTTATCCAATTTTTCAATTTAGCAACCAAGGCACTCCCAGGGAGGTGGCATCTATAAGTTGAATTTATTTATTTAACTTTTTGAGGGAAATAGCTGGGTCTCCTATACGTATTTGCTATATACTTAATCTACAGATCCTCTGGCTAAAGTCCTTGGGGATATGTCTGGGTACAGGATGCAAAGAGAGCAGTGATGATGAGATCTGGCCTGTCATCCTGACTGGTATCTGTGCCCAGGTAATCATGAGAGGTAGGCTTCCTGACCCATTTTCATCTGGTTCCTGCCTATGAATCATGTGAAACAGTCATTGGAGGAGAGGAGCATGGACTGCGAACTTGAGCATAGGAGGGAGACAGCCGCAAGCTGAGAAAAAAAATGGTTGCTTGTGGAGGGAGATAATCTGGATGCCTTGGTCTCTCCTGGTGAGCCTTTGTAGGGCACAGAGAGGCTCTCAGGATGCCCAGAGACAGAATCATACAGGTGCATGGGAGTGGCCAACATACCCACAGGGAGGTCCCTCAGGCAATTCAGCCTCTACTGGTCCAGCCTCTACACTCATCTCTTCTCTGCCAAACCCACTTTCTCTGGGGTTCCCCTCCCTGGTAAATGGTATCACCCTCCATCCCTCCTCCAGCTCCTACTCCAGCCAGAATCTGGATTTCATTCCTAGGTCCTTGCCTCTCACATGCTATCAGTGACCAAGTTCTATGGACTCTATCTCCTAAATATCACTTTAATGCCTCCATTTCCATGGACCCTTATTCCCATCACCCAATTCCATCATCCAACGCTGTCACAATTACCTCTTACTGGTTGACTGAGCCAGTTCCTTTGTCTGTATTCTTTCTCCACTTCAATTCTTTCTATACACTGTAGCCAGAGTGATATTTCTGAACTACAAGTCTGACATCTCATGTGTATGCTGCTTAAAGTCCTTTAATAACTTGCCATTAATTTGAAATCCAAACTCCTCAACATGGCTTGCAAAGTTATTTTTGATCTGGCGCCATTTACTTCTTATCTGTTTCTCACCCTCATACCTTCTTATCTGTTTCTCACCGCTCATACCTTAGCGTCAACACCACTTCTTCAAGGATGTCTTTCTGGAGCTCCTGCCTCTAGGTTTTGTATCTCTCCTGCGTGCACCTTGGAACCCTGTTCTTCCACATCACAGCATTTAGTGAACTCTCTTGCAGACCAGCTGGTTGTTGTTTCCCCTCTGCATTGTACATGCCACAGGAAGAGTCTCTGTCATGATAAATGTTCACACCCCTAGCCTCACACATTATAGGAGCTTAATGAGTATCTGTTGACTAAATGGAACAGAGTCTTCTGAGGATGCCTTCCATTGCTAAAGAGGCAATGAGGCATAGCCATGAAAAATCACACAAGCCTTGGTTTGAATCCTAGGTATGCCATCCATCAAGTTACTAGACTCCTCTGAGTTTTCATCTTAGAAAAGTGGGGCTCATAATAGCACCTACCCCCAGATGTTACCATGAAGAGTCAATGGAATGTTGCCTGTAAAAATTATTGGAGAGGAAGATGGGCATGGATGTTAGCTCAGGGCCAGTCTTCCTCAGCAAAAAGAGGAGGAGTGGCAGTAGTTAGCTCAGGGCTAATCTTCCTCAAAAAAAAAAAAAAAGAAAAAATTATTGGAATAGGGCATGTAATGTAGAAAATAATAATAGCCTATTACATTGACAAATAAAATATCCCAAAATCATGTGAAAGTTATTAAAAAGAAATATGCTCCCTATTTGTGTTTCCACATATTTAAGGTCTCTATATAAGGAAAAATAAAATAGTCATTCTGGCTGTGAGAATAGATAGCTATAAATAAATAAAACTAGTTTTCATAATTATGGGCAAGGCACTGTAGTTGGGCCTGGGGACTCAGAGAAAACAATACAGATGTGGTTCCTGCTCAGAGAGTATATAGACATGACTCCCCATCACACCAACAGATAATCAGAAATGATGACCCACTCTGACAGACTGGGTGCTAGGTACAAAATGCGATTATGATATGGTTGTGAAGGGGCCAGAGGAACAAGGTAAGGCTGGAGGAACACGGTATCTAGGATAAGGATTACGGTCTTTATGTTAAGAGTACGAAGACATGGCTTTTAAATAAGAGAGAGACATGATCAGAAATGTAGCTTAAAAATATCATTTCTGACTGTAAAGGAAGAAAGGAACGGAGATGGACAGACATGCATATGGAAGTAGCTGAAGTCTATTGCTGTAGTCCAAGTAAGGGACGGTGGTATTTTTGCAGGAGGGGGTAGCAGTAAGTACACAAGAAAACTGTAATCACTCACATTATACATACTTATTTTCCAGGAGTAGCAGAGTGGAAAGGATACAGATTTTGCAATCGCAAAGATTGAGGTTTCACTCCCGGCTCCACTAATAAGTGTAAAACTGTGGGTAAGTTATTTCACCTTATCAATTTTATTATGCCCTTTTTAGAAATGAGGAAACTAATACCACCCAGAGGGAGTTGTATTGAGGATAAGAGAGAAAATGTATATACAAGTGCTCACCACAGGACTTGGCATATCATGGGTGCTGAACAAATGCCAGCTCTTAGTCTTAAGAAGTGAACACTCTCTGATCTGCAGTCAGGCTGTGCTATTATTAATTTACAGCATCTATGAGTCCAAACCTAAGTTTTAGCCCAGTCCGCCAAATTCAATAAACTAACATATAATTTTGAATATATATTACATGCGGGTGATAACAAAAGAAGCAGAAACCACATCGCAGCCACAAAAGCAGATATTTCTTCTGTTTAGTTGTCATGAATTCTGAATTGTTGGAATTGAATTGATTTTACCG